CAACCAAGGGCCAGGAACTTCATCTTGGTCTTCCAAGTGGGTAGCAGGGGCCCACGTACTTAAGCCACCATTTACTTCCTTCTCTGGTGTGTTAGCAGAAAGCTGGACCAGAAGTGAGGCAGCTGAAGCTCATCTAGAACTCTGATATGGGATGCTGATGTGGCACTGAAATAGGCTTTTCATTACCTGAACTTCATGCTGTGGCTTCTCTACCCATTGGAAAAATAATATTGATAGAAATATTCCCCTGTGGCATATTTTATTATATTTTAATTATCAGTAATTTTTGAGAATGAAATTAGGCATGTTTCTACTTTTGATTTTTTGACCACCTTAGTGGTAGAACACTAAGGTAACATTATCAAGTGAATTAAAATTTTATCACAAAAGTTTACAAAAAAGGAAAGTATCACTATTCTCAAGGTTGTGCCTTTGAATGACTTGCAATCTGTTCTTTTTTAATAAAAAATTTTAAACTAACATGATTAGATATGGAAAATTTATTAGGGATCCGAGTCTTTTTCATGAAAATGGGTTATTTACATGGAAATTCAGTGCCCTATGCTTCTCCCAAGTCTTAAGATGCCATCAGGCCAATCCACAAAAGGAAAATGAAATTAACACTGAAACATGCCAAGTTGTGACAGACATTCAGTTATTGTAACTACGCAGAAGGCAGATTGTAATTAGTCTATTTTCACAAATGGTACCTTAAACTCAGAGAAGTTAGGTCATTTTCCTGAGATGACACAGTTCTTACCTGCCAGAGGTGGGGTGGATCACAGCTCACAGATTTCACTCTGTAACTAAGTTGCCCCTCTGCACTAGATTCTGTGCCTCAGCTTTCCACAGTATGTTTTACTGTCTGGATGAAAAAGGCATGTGTTTTACTAGTCCTCAGAGATTTGGATTTTTGATTTCCATCCTGCCTGCCCAAAGGAGCACATATTTATGCTTTTGGTTTGTCAGGAGCATATTTGCTTATAAACTGCTACTCCTAAGGAACAGCCAGCATCTTCTAACATACTTGGGTCAGACAAGTGGTGACTTTGTGATAATGAGCATTATTCTGGTCTGAAACTAAAGTTGGCTGTTTTGCAAAAGTTAGCAGGAATTTATGCTATAAGCTCAGTGTAAAATACCCATATGTCTATGTTTTTAAATAGTATATCCATCTTTCCATCCATGTTACATTTACGCTGAGTCCAGACTGAATGCAATCTCACCGAAGACCACAGTTTGAAAATGCTTCCTGCAGTGAATATTTTTGATAGTTGTGTACATGTCTGAGCATTTAGTCACTAGATCTCTTTGAAATCTATCTCTTAGTGTCTACAGTGGATTGCACTCAAGGAGAGTGGGCTGAGGAGTACTTGCAGTCATCAGCATTTATGTGTACTCATACATTAGTCAGATATCTTGGGGCTTTCCTAACCAGCAGTCCCCTGCAACAACCGAGGGGGTGAGATGGCAATGTTTTTCAGCATGAACCACCGGAGATAGTCTGAGCATGTCCATTTATGGTAAAGCCAGCATTATCTTATATAGAGTAGGAAAGGGGAAGGCAGAAGGGTGTGTCCTGACAGTGCTCCCACACAACAATGACACTGTAATTGGCTAGAAGGCATGTCTATCTCTCTGGATCCTCCAATCAGGTAGCAGGTCATGCACACACGCACAGCTGACAGGTATGCTGCAAGGAAAGTTCACCACTTGTGGCTGTGGGTCAGCTGTAGGTCACACACACCACATGTAGTTAGCATGCAAAGTAAGACTACATCTGCTTTTCAGAGTTCCCTGTTAGGGAAGTCCCAGCTCATTCAAAAACAAAGAAGAGAGACTGGGGTGCAACCCACTTCCCTGGCCTGTAGGAGCACTAAACAGGTCAAGCTGAGGTCTCCGTTACCTGAGACCATTGTCAGGGTGTTTCCCCAGGGACATGGTGTGTCGTGTGCCTGTGACCTCACACATAGGCCAAGAAGGCTGAGATCCAGGGGCGATCTCCCACACAGATGGTTTTTTGTACTTTGGGTATTTATTTTCTTAAACATTTACAAGGCTTAAGTGTACAAAAGATTTTCAGTGTAACAAGAACAGTGGAAGTCTTTGATGAATTTCTTGGAAGATGCCAGACAAGAGAGCATACAAATCAGAAAATGAAAATGCTATGATACTAGAGAACAGAAGGGGGAAAAGGAAGTGATATTATGGGCTAACCTGCTTACTGAAAGCCGGTTACGTACCAGCATTAGTGCTAAAAGTGGTAAGACAAACAGCTCTCATTTCAGGAAGGGAAGTGACTCTCAGAACCTCACTAGATAAGTATCAAACTATACTTTTTGCACATCAAGCACTTACATTACACTGATAGGTGCTGAAATAAATTGTGTGATGCCTTCATCACCTTCAGACCTCTCTCCATTTTATAACTGTGTTGTCCTATTAAGAGAAATATTGAAGTTTACACCTTCCATTTTAATATATAATATGTGAAACATGATATAGAATATATATTATATTGCATTATTTGTAATGATATAATATAAAATATATACTTTTAAGTTATGTTTTATGACTATTATGTAACAGATGGCACGGTGCCTGAATGATTGTTTCCTGTAAGGACAGAAAGTCGTTACCCTGACTTGGAGAAGTCTGAGGATACAGCAACTGGGTTCCATGAGAACCTCAGGGACTCGTATTTTTTTCTGTCACATTGCTTGTTCATTTACGTTTTTATTTTTAAAGCTTTATTTTATTTATTTGAAAGGAAGAACAAAAGAAAAAAGGATAGACAGAGGGCTGAGATAGGGAGAGATCTTTCATTTGCTGGGTCATTCCCCAGATAGCTGGACCACATGGAGTCTAGGAGCTAGGCATGCCATCTAGGTTTTCCAAAGGGTGGGCAGAGGCCATGTACTTGGGCTGTCTGCTGATGCCATCTCGGTCACATTATCAGGTAGCTGACTGGAGCAGAGCAGCTGGGATTCCCACCTTTGATACATGGTGGTGGTGTCACAAATAGCGGCTTAGTTCCCCATACCACAATGTTGGCTCCTAATTTTCCATTCTTACACTCATTGCCCTAGTCCTTATGATTCTAGATGGCTCAACACTTATCTGTGCACCCAGTAGTTGGCAGAAGGAGCGAAAATGAAGGAGAGGCCTTTCTCTCTGATTTCACATTATGCTGTGGTATTGCAAATATCATTTTTTGTATCCCATTGGCCATGACGTATTTACAAAGTCATATTAGCTCCTACCTGCCAAGAGGCTGGGAAATGTCTTTACTTCAAATGATCATGGGCTTGGCTAAACATGGGATCCTGAATAATGGAAAAAAGCAGGTGATAATCAATATTGGGAATACCTAGAAATACTCAGTCATGAGAGTAGAATTTTGAACTGAAGTAACTCATCTAAACTAACCCCTGTTTATCCTCTATGGCATTACATATTTTCTTTTCTTTACATGCCATAGACTAAAAGAGTGCATCACATGTTTAATTATTTTATATGAGTAGAGAATGCTATGTGTATTTCCTCACCCGGTTTTTTCCAGCCCCTTGTATACCCGATCAGTGACAGAAATCCATCTGAACTGGGTGAGGACCTCGGATCACTGTGCTGTGACTCCTTTTATCCAGCATGTTCAGCCAATGGAAAGAAGTTACAGTGGTGAGAAATGATGTTAAGTATGATTTGTATCCAGATAATTGAATCATTTTCTTCACAGTTATTTTAATATAGGTAAAAAAAAAATGGCTCTATGGCCTAATACTGATACAGTACAATTTGTGCTTACAGTGTCCTTTGTACATAAATATACATATGCATGTGGGTCTGGCATGGTAGCTTAGTGGCTAAAGTCCTTGCCTTGCAAGCCAGCATCCCATACGGGGGCCAGTTCTAATCCCGGCTGCTCCACTTCATCTCCAGCTCCCTGCTTATGGCCTGGCAAAGCAGTGCAACATGGGCCAAAGCCTTGGAACCCTGCACCCATGTGGGAGACCCAGAAGAAGTTCCGGGCTCGGCTCCTGTCTTTGGATCATCTCAACTGTGACCATTATGGCCATTTGGAGAGTGATTCAGCAGATGGCAGATTTTTCTCTCTGTCTCTCCTCCTCTTTGCATATCTGACTTTCCAATAAAAAATAAACAAATCTTAAAAAATGAATATGCACGTAAATATACAAGTACGTGTGTGTATATATATATATATATATATATGGTAATTTTCATAGTTTTTTCATAATATTCAGTTTCAATGATCTTTCTGAAGATTCCTTTGTGTGCATGAATTTCAAAGCTTTTGCACCAAGATAAACTTATATTTTATCCTTGCATATGTATAATTCTAGGCATTGGCTCTAAACGTGTGTGTGTGTGTGTGTGTGTGTGTGTGTGTGTGTGATGATCCATTAGATCTTAGAAACCATCACGGCCATTTTACAGACAAAGCAAATAAGTTGGGGAGGGAAAAATGGTCAGAAATGAGTACATAGTGGAGACTAAAATCAAGCTGAGCGTTACATACATGCCATACATTCTTTACAATCCCAAACAGCAATATGACCCCGTTGGATTTAATTGATCTTGATATAGACAATATAGCAGTGTATGGTTGTCCTTTAGCCAGGAAAATGAGCACAAATATTCTGTTACCTATACTGCTTCTCAAACTTCTGATTTTACTATCCAGATGAACTGCCTGCAAGTGACCCATGATTGAAAGTCTTCAGTGTTCCTTAGGTGGGATGGTTACATGACAGCAGGAGTGTGTGCCTTACCCTGGCTCAGAACACAGTAGACATTACAGAAATGTGCAGCTTTTAATGTCGGTTTCAATGTTACTGTTACAGTACTTTGGCTTCATAAAACCCCGCCTTTTCCTGTCCTCTGAATGTTTCTTGGCAGAGACCAGGCAAAGGAAAAAAGTGAAAGTCACTAAACTGTAGACTTTTTCATTCGTGCAGAGAACAGAAAGGGGTCAATATTTGTTTAAGAATTTTCAGTCCATCCCTTAGTTCTGTAGTTGGTGCTTTATGAACAATCCCTAGGAGTGGGCGGGGCTTCCCGTAAATCCCCTCTGCAGCTGTTTTCCTTCTGCAGTGACTCAGAGAGCGCCTGGGCTTCTGGAGCAAAAGGTGGGTGAGTGTGCTGCTCAGGGAGGCTGGGCCCCTCTCCCAGCCTCGCACCTGAGAACTGAGGGCCACCCAAGGCACTGCCCTCTCCCTGATCTCACAACTGCTGGAGCTGATTTTGAGGCTCAGCCCATGGAGTGAGGAATTTAGTCTGGCTGGTGATTCCAGCAGGGGTTTTTGCAGCATTGGCAGGCCAGAAGACTTGTGGAGGATGTACTGGGGATTTGGCTGTCACCCAGGAATCTCTTTCTACTTTCCCATTCTCTTTCTTTCTGCTTTTTCTTTCTGCTTTTTCATGGGCAGCTGCTATTTTCTCAGTCTTATGTGAGTTTATGCTGCAGAAACAGCCTCAGTCTTGGTTTTACCCAATCAATTGCATGACCCAAGAGCTTCTATGCAGAAATTGAAGTGACTGATCAGACACTGAAAATCTAGGACTGGTAATGGAAATACTACAGGATATTCTGATTGTATTCTGCACCCCAAATTTCCTCCTTCAAGTGGACCTGGCCTCGGCACAGCCTGTGAGGGTGCCGTCAGAGGTGGCTTCTGCCCTGGGGGCTGAGCAGCCTAGTGTCAGCAGCCCTGTGTTCCTGAGTGTCCAGCTGAGCCACTCCCAGCCCATTCTCCCAGCTGCCTCCAATTAGGTTCTTCGGTCTTGGCTAGCACTCCGTGGTCTTTAGCTGGGCGTTGTTAGGTGCCTTTTTCCAGTTCAGCATGAGAGACAGAGGTAGTTCTGGGCCAAACCAACAGTTTTCTTGGGAAGGGTGGGAAAAAGGATGCTCAGTCAATGAAGGCTTGTTGTTGTTGTTGAGAATGATCCTTTGTGGCTTTTTCCCTTCCTTGCCCAACTACCCTTGCTAAATATCGGGCAGTTTTAGAGTGCTTTCACTGCTTGGCAGCATTCCTTGCCTTCTTGCTCTCCGACTCCCTTGCTCTAAGCTAGCTGGTGTTATTAGAAACCTTTGCCTCTCCAAGCATTAGCCTGCTTCAACAGAGAACTTGCCTGACTGTGCTAGACGCTATTTTTGCAGACAGCCTGCCCTCCTCCCTCTGTTGCTGCTGTCCTCGATGTTGTGGCATGGATATCAGGTGGCCTATCGATATGGACTCTGCATAGTAGTAGTAGTAGAATATACTATTTTAAATGGCGATTGGGATGCAAGCAGAGGGCCTGGAACTCAAAGCTTCAAATCTTTAAAGGTGGGATTGTCCAAGGAAGGAAGCCTGTTGAGAAAAGCCTGAGTGTTTTTCTGTTCAGGTTTTTTTTCCCCCACTGGGTTTTTAAGGAAGTGAGTGTTCTCGGTGACCTGCCTTGGCCTGGGCCTGGGGATAAACATGTCAGTTTTGCTTTTCTTCAACATCCTTTGTGAACCTCGTAATGCTGTGTTAATTTTGAAGGTGCATTTTGTGAGAATGCCCTTCTTAGTCCTTGGCACTGCATCTTAGTGCTTTGGCAGAAGCAGACCAGAGTATCAAGCACTTCAGTTTAACACAGATCAAAAGAAGCTTCCCAGGTGCTTGGGCCTATCACTAGGAGCAAATCCACTGGTAGATTTTGCAGCTAAAAGGATCGTGTAAATCACAACCTAGCTACTTAATACTGGCCTCTTCTTTGTTGCCATGTAACATGAAATGCTTGTTTACATAATAAAAGAGATGTACACACATGTTATATATTATAATATTATATACATTGCACATATTATGTGTATATACAAACATATATATATAATATATGTTTTGAATTACAATAAAATTTGGGACTGTCTGAATTTAAATAGAGGACATGTTGTATATATAATATTTTTACACACCAAAATGTCTTAGAGTAAACCAACAGTGGTTTCAGTTATGAGCCTTAAAGGAAAAGTCCACTGCTGCAATGCAAGAGGCTGTTTGGGATCACACAGCTTCTCAAATGCATCTTTCTGACTAGCATGATCTAAAGTAACAGAAGGGGTTTGCTGAGCAATAGTGGTAATAGTAGAAACAAACTATCATCAATGGCTAAATACCTCTTATGGTTGCTACTCACTGGACATCATATGCATGTATATTAGTTCATAAATGATGGGCGTGATTTGTGATTTTCACTTTAGAAAGAAGACAAATTTGGGGATTTTAAGTTAATGACAGAGTGGTGTATCAATTATACTTTTTAGAAAGTGCAATTATGTGAACCAGGACAAGGGTGTTACAGAAATCTGTTGCGGAATGGGTGCTTAGTGGAACTTACAGCTTCCCCATCTGTGACTGCCATTTAGAAGGAATCTTACTTTTGGAAGCTTTCTTTCCTTTCCAATGTTAACCTTCACTATATATTCTTATGGCAGAGGAAAGCATTTAAGGCAGGGCCTGGCGCAGTTGCTCAATGGCAAAATCCTTACCTCTCTATGTGGGCACTGGTTCATGTCCTGGCTGCTCTACTTCCCAGTAGCTCTCTGCTTATGGCCTGGGAAAGCAGTGGAGGACAGTCCAAAGCTGTGGGATCTTATACCTACACAGGAGACTCAGTCAAAGCTTCTGGTTCCTGAGTGTAGAAGCTCATCTCCAATCATTGTGGTCACTTGGGGAGTGAATTAGTAGATGGAAGATTTTTTTTTCTGTCTGCTTCTCTCCATAAATCTGATCTGCCTTTCCAAAAAAAAATATTTTATAAAGAAGAAAGCATTTAAGGTATTGGTGTTTTAGGAGGTGAATCTCAATTAGTGACCTGTATATGATGTGGATTTTTTTTTTCTGTTGTTGTTCAGAGACTGAATCACCATGGTGTACCAGTGTGGTCTGCTCACCCACAAGAAGGAATCAGGTAAGGCTGATTCCAGACTTCAGCTGTTATTATTCTCTTTGGCAGCTGGTACAATATCTGCCTACCTCAACCTTCTATTAAGGTCTATTGATCTCTTCACCTCTGCCTTCTGTATTCTTAGTGCCGCTCAAGAATATCTCTGTGAACTTGTCCATTTGTGAGTTTGTGGCTGGTGTGTCTGCAACTTTAAACTATGAGAATGAAGAGAAAGTTCCTTTGGAGGCCTTCTTTGTATTTCCCATGGATGAAGATTCTGCTGTCTATAGCTTTGAGGCCTTGGTGGATGGGAAGAAAATTGTAGCAGAGTTACAGGACAAATGCAAGGTACTGGGATCAGTACATCACCTCCTTCCTTCTTGATGCCCTAATGTATACTTCTTAAGATCTCTATCCACTGCAACTTCACTATAAATGCTAGCATTAAATGTGTTTTGCTCCACTGTCTTTTAACTGCAATTTTCTCAGAGTCGTTTGGAGGGAAAACCAATAAGGGACATTTAAAATATAACTGTGAGCTTGTTAAGACCAAGCACAGACCCTCCCAGCAGTCCCTACTTTGTGTATAACTTGTCTCTTTAGCTAACATGTCCTCTTCAATGGTTTATTTTCCTATACTCATGCTCTTCTATTTAGGCCCATATCAACTATGAGAATGCCATCAGCCAAGGCCACCAGGCCTTCTTATTAGAAGAGGACAAGTGTTCCAGGGATGTCTTCTCCTGTGACGTGGGGAACCTCCCACCTGGGTCCAAAGTGGAGCTCACCCTGAGGTATGTGCAGGAGCTGCCACTGGAAGCAGATGGAGCGATGCGCTATGTGCTCCCAGCTATCCTGAATCCCAGATACCATCTCTCTGGTAAATACCCATTTTCTTTGAACATTAATTGTGGTTGGCAACATTGGGTAAATGCTCTGAAGTTTGCTTGGGTGCTAAAAGAGAAGTCTTAGAGAGGGAACTAGCACTAAGACAATATTTTGTAGGACTGCCTGAGGATAGTTGCCTTAATATGAAGACTCCTGTAGCTCCTTTGGAGGACCCACCCTACACACTGAGCATGACTGCCACCATCACTTCCCAGCACAGTATCGAGAAGGTCCAATCAAACTGTACCTTGAGCCCTGTTGAGTACCTTGGAAGTGCAAAGACTTCTGTTCAGGTAACTAATGAGAACACTGCTATCACTGGGACCCCTACTCTTGGTTCTGAACTTGACCCTTACCAAACCCTTTCCAAATATTTGCACTTTATCTCCATTTTATCTAGAGCTTTCTCTCCATCCTCACCCCAGTTGTGGGCATCTGCACTTGTGGGCCGGAGCCTCTGGATGCAGAATGGGAATCCTAATGTGGCTTCTTTGGCTTCTCCCCAACTCAGGTTTCCCTGGCTGATGGGCACAAGTTTGACCGCGACGTGGAACTCCTGATTTACTATAGTGAGGTGCACAGCCCCAGCGTAGCCGTGGAGATGGGGATGCCTGAAAAACAGCCAGGTATTTTCTGTCTTGTCTTTTGAGACACCTGGGTGAACTTCCTCTTGAAATTACCCTCAGATTGTCCTCACTTTTTTGCTCCTCCATACAACAGTTGGAAAAAAAACATATTAATATAAAACCGTGAAGTAGCAAAAACCACAGCATGCAAAAATGATTGAGCTTAATGAATATTGTATGCTTAATGGCTTACACTCACATTTAAGTTAATTAGTTCATAGTGGGTGAAGAGCTCCAATAAATACAAGAGAAAACATGGTGATTTCATATACATTTGTGACAATGACTTCACCTATGCCAGAGATGCAAATAAAAATTAAGTGATATTTCTGTCTTTTAAAATATCAGAGATTTGGGCCAAGTGTGATAGCCTAGTAGCTAAAGTCCTCGTCTCACATGCACTGGGATCTCATATGGGTGCTGGTTCTAATCCCGGTGGCCCTGCTTGCCATCCAGCTCCCTGTTTGTGACCTGGGAAAGCAGTAGAGGATGGCCCAAGGCTTTGGGACCCTGAACCCACGTGGGAGACCCTAGAGAGGCTCCAGGCTCCTGGCTTTGGATTGGCTGAGCTCTGGCTGTTGCGGCCGCTTGAGGAATGTAAGCCAGCCCCCTTACCTGGCTTCTCTCTGAGCATGCTGCCATGGTGAGGTTACAGGTCAGGATCCCAGCTTCAGGCAGGTTTGTTGTAATCAGCTTTCCTCCAGGAAGCTCTGTATTCCTTCTTTATACATTAGTCACATGTGTTTCTTTTTGGTGAATTCCTGTTGGATGTTCGTGCAATGCGCCATAACAATAACCTGGAATTAATCAGGATTATTTTAATCCATCAGGAAAAATGATTTCTGTAAAGGTAAGGACCGCTGTCCCAGTCCCTTGTCTTGTAAGAAGATACCCTGGGCACTGGGGAGACTTTGGCATTTTCTCCCCATGATCAGCTGTGCTGGTCGTGCTGGATATTGGAGGCACGCTGCATCAGCTCGTGAATCCCGTGCAGGTGAATCAAGTCTTCCTTCTTAGATTTTCCCAACCTGATACGCTATTCTCATCCAATCTGAGACACAGATGGTAACCAGAAGTGGCAGTTTGGCTCACTTAAAACCATGTCGAGTTCTGCAAAATCTTTCCTTCCCTTTGCTAAGACTAAAAATAACCTCTTTCTTCACTTTGACATTTGTTCTACCTTTTGTATATTATGTGTTTTTAAGTCAGCTCAAACTCTTTTGCAAGTAGAAATGTGCGTGAACCAAACCCTGTGGTTTTGATTTAAGTTTACTCAGCTCACTGTGCAACTCGATACAACTGGTTTTGGGAAACTTCAGGATTCTTGAGTTCCTTCTCATCTCACAGAGTCCTTTCCTTTCTCTTTAGATAGCTTGATGGGAGATCCATGTGCCATGGTGAGTTTCTATCCAGATATCCCAGAAATTGAAGTGCCTGTTGCCTGTGGAGAATTTGTCATCCTCATGGACTGCTCAGGAAGCATGCGGTCTCCTATGAATAAACAGGCGAAATCTCAACCACGCATAGAGGCAGCCAAGGTACAGCTAGCATCTTCTGTTTACTGGGTCACATGTTCAGGGCAGGATGGGTATTAAGGGCTGGTGACCATTTCCAGCTGTGAGTCTGTCCTCTTCTGTCTGGACTAAGTAGGCATGACCTCCCTGAGCTGAGCCATGGAGTAGGAGGAGGCATAAAAATGGGTGAAATTTTGAATTGGCGAGTCCTGTGTGACAGGACCTTCTCTCACTCTACTCTTCCTCTCTTAACTCTAGGAAACTCTGATTTTGCTACTGAAGAGCCTGTCCATTGGCTGTTATTTCAACATCTATGAGTTTGGATCTTCCTTTGGGACATTCTTTCCGTAAGTTTCTAGGAATGAAGTGACAGTTCAAAAAGATAAGTTAAAGAAAGGGACTCGATTGTTAAAGGGTTTATGGCAGAATTTTGGCATTCATGGTAAGTAAGTTTTGTTGCTGTTGTTGTTTGCTCTTTCTTTCTTTCTTTCTTTCTTTCTTTCTTTCTTTCTTTCTTTCTTTCTTTCTTTCTTTCTTTCTTTCTTTCTTTCTTTCTTCCTTCCTTCCTTCCTTCCTTCCTTCCTTCCTTCCTTCCTTCCTTCCTTCCTTCCTTCCTTCTGTCCTTCCTTCCTTTCTTTCCACAGTGGTTTGCAGGCTACTCCTTTACCTGCAAGTGCCGGCATTCCATATGGGTACAGATTTGTGTTCCAGCTGGCTGTTCCATTTCTGATTCAGGTCTCTGCTGATGGCCTGGAAAAGCAGCAGTGGATGGTATAAGTCCTTGGGCACCTGCAGCCATGTGGAAGACTCAGTTGCTGGTTTCATATTGGCTCAGTTCTGGCCACTGTGGCCATTTGGGAAGTAAAGCAGTGGATAGAAGATCTTTTTTTCCCTCTGTTCTTACTTCTGTAGATCTGCCTTTCAAATGTAAAAAAAATAAATCTTCAAAAATCAAGGATGGTGGTTAGCAGGCATCATATAACAACGGAGTGTTCTCTTTTCTCAGGGACAGTGTGATGTACACCCAGGAGACAATGGAGGAGGCGGTGGAAAGAGTGCAGCTTATGGAGGCAGACAGAGGGGGCACTGAAATCTTGACACCACTTCGGGACATTTACAGAAAACCTCCCATCGCAGGCCATCCCCTGCAGGTGAGAACAGGACAGCGCTCACCAAAGGATAGTGGCAGTGTTGCTTCAGAGTTGTTTTGCTTGATTTGAGAATCATCAGAACTTATGCAATGAAAGTAATTGAGTTTTCCAAAGGCAAATTTTAGTATCTTAAAATAACCCTGACGGAGGCTTCATGGATTTTTTTTTCTTTGTGCAGCTTTTTGTCTTTACAGATGGAGAAGTTGCAGACACCTTTACCATAATTAGAGAAGTGAAGCTCAACAGCAAAAAGCACAGGTATGAAGACAGATGTGCTTTCTTCTGGGATGTTGATGCTGCTAATTCTAGCATGTGATCAAATGCCCCATGATCCCAGTGCTGGAATCCTTTGCAGAGGACAGAAAGGCTTGAGCGTCCTAGTTTTGTTTTTGAAGAATTTGACCCTTTTTATAAAAAAAAAAAAAACAAGTTTCAAGGGGTAAAAGTTTACTCTACCAACTAACTAGCCAATTAAAATTCCTGCAACCAACATCAGAGTGTGTGGGTTCGATGCCTTGCTCTGATTTCAGTGCTCCACTAATGCAGATCTCAAAGGGCATTGTGATGGCTCAGGTAATTGGGTTGCAACCACTCATTAGGTGATCTAGATTGAGTTCTGACCTTTCACTCAGTATCCTCACTTGAAAATAATTCTATGAATACTGCTTACCTTATAGGCTTATTATTAAAAACTCCCAAGAAAAGCTTTGCTAGCTGTGCTTTATTTACTCAATGAGCAGTATATAAAAATGTGGCTCTTCTTATTTGTTTCCTCAGAGGTCAGGAATCCTTTTTCTGCCAATGGCCATTTAGATACTTACAACATCATTTATAGGCTATAAAAATGAGAAACTTAAAAATTAGCCTGCGGCAGATTTATTGAATTTCGAGTCTCAGCTGAAGTTGCCTTGGCAAGGCCAGACCAAAAGATTTCAATTGTTTGTGGCTTGAGTGTTCTCCACCCTTGATGTGCAAAACACAGTTGTGAATTCAGGCAATAGTTAGCCATTAATAAATGCCATTCAACTTTGCGAAATATGAACTTTGTTCGGAAGGCAGAGCAATAGATAAAGACCACACACACACACACACACACACACACACACACACACACACAGTACAAGAGAACTTCCATATGCTAGTTCAGTCCCCACATATCTGCAAAGGGAGGGCTGGGCTAGGACAGGCACATTAGCAGGCAGTTGGATCGAAATGGAGCACTACTCTGATTGGGAACTTGTGATACAAGTGGTAACTTAACCTCCTATGTCACAGTGGTGGCTCCTCAATTTTGGTTTTGTGCGTAAAAATAGATTTGCAAATGTACAAAAGCACTTCATAACCCAGACTTCAATTTGAAGGTAATGTTGAAAAAGCCAAGGTAAATGTAAAAATCTGTGGATTGACTGGCACCCTTAAGGAGAATTTCATCATTCAGTTAGAATTTAGAACTCTAGCCTCAAAGGCTTAGAGAATATGTGTGTATATATATAATTTTTATTTTCCATGCTACAGTTCCATGGGCTGAGGGATTTCCCCTTCCATCTTGCCCTTCCTTCCCCCACCACACTGCTTTTCCTCTATATTGTAGCAGTAGTTTAGTCCCTCAACAACGGTCACAAGTCCATCCTTCTGCTATTTTTAAGTCTATCCTGACATTGTAGGTATAGAGAATGGTGTAAACTCCAGCATTCTAGTGCCAAGATGTATTTTACAGTTGCGTTGGGAGCCCATCTACATCTATTCAGAAGTATAGTTACATACTACAATATTTCACCACCTCATGGTACATTTGCTCCGTTATACAGCTCTTCTAGACAAATATATATAATATAAATGATAGTATATAAATAATACAATTATATAATAACATAATAATAAAATTATATATATATGGAATATTTTAAATCAGATTGACCAATGTTTTTCTGCATTTCTTACCATTCAGCAAGGCCATGGCATTTACCAAATTCTGTATATTTTCAGGACCTTAAGTCCTTTGCAAAGTAAACCAGAAATTTGCCTTTTAGGAGTCTCGTGCATGATTAAATCCCACCTTTTGTTTAAAGTATTTATTACATTTTCTAAAATATATGATCAATACATGGTAGCTGTCATGCTTCTGGTTCAAATGACTATTTCTCATGTATTTCTACAATTTTGTGTTAGTTTTATGATGTCAGTGCTGCTCTGTGACTTCCAACTGTTTACATCTGCAGGTGTTTCTCCTTTGGTATTGGCGAAGGTGCCTCCACCAGCCTAATAAAAAACATTGCTCGGGTTTCAGGGGGCATGGCAGAATTTATCACAGGCAAGGACAGGATGCAGTCCAAGGTAAGGGACAGGTCATATATCCAGAAGTGAGCAATCTTTATCAAGAATTGGGTGAGGTAGTGACAATGCCTCCACGGTATATTTTGCTGTATCTCCATACCCTTGGTGGGTAGACCTTAGGCAATTGAGGTTCTGCAGAAAGGGTATCAGGGCGTAGAGGCTGAAAGCTCAGAGATGAAATGCTGAAAGAGGCTGAGACCTGTGTATTTAACACCAGCAAGAGAGCAATAGTTCAATTGTTAGGAATGAGATTCCAAGTCTGTGATTTAGGATATATATATGTATATATATTAGATATTATAGATATTATATATATATAATATTTAGGATACATATATAAATACATATATATATGCATATATATTTGATAATATAGCAAAGGATCCAAAGACAGGGAGAACAATTGTGAACTACAAATGGAAGGGTTGGCAAACTGCATTTTATCACCATGTACAAGGAGGCCTTTACAGTTATATTTTATGTTCTCTCCACAGTTGTTCTTGCATTTTATCTAATCTGCTTCTCCAGGGATCTCCTCTCTTAAGCATTTATTTCACTGATTTATGCTATTACATCCCTCAGCTTTAGTTCTTCACATGTAAAACAAAAAGAGAGAATGTCAATCTCCTAATAAAATTTCAGACTTGGTCTAATATGTGAAATATATGCTGTATGACACCTGATGGAACAATTGCTTCATTGTTGCTTTTACTTGTCTGTGTTTATGAATTTTTTTTTCCTTCTATCAGGTTCTTAGAGCCTTGAAACGTTCTCTACAGCCTGTGGTTGAGAACATCTCTCTGAGTTGGAACTTGCCATCTGGTCTGTCTGCTGAAATGCTTTCCCCAGAGCAGACTTCCCTCTTTAGGGGTCAGAGGTTAATTATCTATGCCCAGTTGTCTGGGACAATGCTGGTGAGTTTCCCTTCCTGTTCATTTTGCCATTCTTGGCTGCCCTGACAGTTTCAGCAAAGCTGATATTATACATGGATCTCAGAAAGTTGACCAAAGCCAACCTATCGCATTCCTTGCCACTTTAGGCTTTTGGCTTCCCAAGATAGTAGATGTCTAGTGCAAAATCTTAATAGGTGGTGTCGGGGAGCCATCCCAGTTCCTACACTTCTCTTGGCAATTTGTACTCTCCACTACTTCTCTTTCATTTAAAGCCAGAAGAGGCTACAGGAGAAGTCTGTCTCAAGTACACATTCCAGGGCAAGAGTTTTGAGAATAAGATGTTGTTTCCTCTACAACCCAAGCTTGATGTCAGGTGAAAATTTAAATTTCCTTTGTTCTCTGCCTCCCTACCTTTCTCCCTCCTTCCCTCCCTTTCTGTCTGCCTCCCTTAACATTCAAGAGCTCTGCCGATTAACTAAATCTCTGGAATTTTTGTTTTATAGCCTCACCATTCACCGCCTTGCTGCCAAATCCTTGCTCCAGGCCAAAGACATGGGCTTCAGAGAGACCGTAGGAAGAGATAAAAACGATGTGTTGAACATAAGCCTCGAGTCAGGCGTCATAAGTTCCTTTACTGCATTTGTTGCCATCAACAAGGAACTTAATAAGCCTATTCAGGGGCCCTTGGTTTATAGAAACATTCCAACACCTGTTCTGCTAACCGCTCTAAATAACCATGTACCAAGACTTGATCGAGGTGCACCTGGTGAGTTTCATTAAATTCAAACTCTGACAGAATTAGTAGTCCACCGCTGAACACATTGTTAAAGGCTGTTGCATTAACCATGTATTTCCATATTTAACATTTTGGATTAGTGTTACACTTTTCTATCCTAAAGAGTTAGTATATGAGTGTATCCCCTTGGAAGAATATCTGAAGTAATCCAAGGGTGCAGAATGGGAGAACAAAAGAACAATAAAATATAAAAAGTACATATGATCCTTGATCAGCAAAACATTTTAACTCGGGTGCTAATTTACATTTCTAATAATGGATGATTGGTTATCACAGAGATGACCAGTGACGAGAATGAGCCTGTGACTAGAAGTGTAGGACAGGAAACTGGAGTAAAAGGAGAAGATTTCAAGGAATCATTAGGGACAGTTGGAGAACAGAGTGCTCCCCAAAAAACATTTGCCCAGGAGTACTGACAAGTCAGCTTAGTTTGGGTATCTTGACTTTAGTAATGGCATCAAATTATGAAATGGAATCTTGATTATGTGATTTATTTCAGCAGGACTTGGCCACTGCAGTATCATAATGAAGGGCATAATGTGTTGACTTAATTTCAAGATTAGGGTTTTATACGGTGAATTTATAAAAGAATATTAGAGCCATAGACTGAAGGCATGAAGGAATAACTGTTTGAATAGGATAGATTGACTTGAAATCACTACTTTAATCGAAAGCATCCTCCTATAATGGAACTTAAGATACGGTGATTGTTCAGCATATGTCAGGAGTTCCACAGGACATTAAAATTAGAAACAGTGTAGAGGGCACAGCTGTGTGTATCCTTTAACACACGAGAGAAGGAGCTGCTTAAAGCTCATATACATAGGGGAAGATTTTTCCCAGATGATCGGACTTCACTGCACTTTCTGACTGAAGAGAACAATGATACATCAGTCTCAAAGTCTGTACTTGTGTTTTTCAGTTTACGCAGCGAGATCATTTGATATTCCTCTTGCTCGTCCGTGTCCATCCAGCCTATCCAAGAGGAGGATTAATTTCTGTGCAACCGTGGTGCAACAGCCTTGTGGTTCAGTTTCACGTAGGTAGATCAATCACAAAGTCCCATAGATTCTCTGTATTTTTCTGGGACATTGTCTCACCAATGCCTGTCTGTTATGCATATAGGAAAGCATGAAGTACAATCTTCTGGTCCTAGACACAGAAGGTCCCATGAACTATTCGAAGACTACACTCAAGGGAAGAAGACATACTCTTCCACCAGTGTCGACGTGCAAAAACCCCAAGCAGGTGAACTGGACCTCAATTTGTTTCTGTGATCTATGGGGACTGAAGAACTTATCTTTAAGGCTGTACTTCCTTATGACTTTTTCCACCAAACACATAATTTGAAAATGCCAAGAGCAAGTGAGGATTATCCAATCCCCAAACTTGTCAGGCCCAGCCAATCTTCTTTAACAGAGGGCCATGAAACCCACTGCCCCACTGGAGACCTAGTAAAACCTAATTAAGCAAAACATTTTTTTTCTCAAACCAATTTATGTGGCTGGGGAACTATGCAGTCACCCAATTTGGGCCCCTGCCGCACAGGTCATTCCTTGAAACGTTGGTTTGCAGGTGCATCTTCTGAATGTTTCTTGATGACTTTTTTTCCTTGTAACACTCTAACTACAGCCTGTCATTGAATTAAGCAACTGATAACCCCATAATTTGACATATTTTATTTCTTCCCAAAAGTCTTTGAAGAAGAGCTATACTTGCAGCTGATTGCCCTCCAAAAAGCAGATGGTTCCTGGGATCTGGATGAGAGTCTGGGCAAGGTCCTAGATATGAGTTTGGAAAACATACTGGCTGCTCACCCTGCCAAGGTGAGGTGAAGAAATCAAGTTTTAGGGAGTGAAGTCAATAGTTAGAATCGGTAGACTAAGGTCTGCTTGAGGAAGGAGATTATAAGAGCCGTATTATAAATTAATTTCTTTTAAATAGAGGTTGAAAGCCTATTTTTCTATTTATGTCACAGCAGAAAGGATTAATAATTAGTGGGCTGACTATGAGGAGCTGGTGGCTTAACACTGATGCTGATAAAAGGATAACAAAGATCCTCTTCTTTAATTGTAGTCTAACCGGTCATCTCAATTGTGTAGCTGATGTTTAGTAGGAAATTACCTGTGCCAGACAATGTGCATGTATATATCTTCATGATCTTGTTTACTCCTCACATCAATGAAATAAGAGAGACCCAAATCATGTTTATAGATGAAGGAAAAAGGAAAAATCCCTAAAGCTCAGAGGGGCTTAGTGATGTGCCTCAGTTTCCATGATGCGTCATTGATAGGCAGGCTTACTTGCAGAACTCTCTGCATTCAGAACCCCTGATAACAACTTCATTTCTGCTCCTCTTCATAGTGATTTCAAAGATAGTACAAAAAAGAATAACATTTAATCATTAGTCATTTTTACATTGAGTAAAGGAAATATAGTATTTTGAACACAGTATATTATATAAGGTATATTAGTGAAATGATTATAACTTTTTATTTTTAAAAATGTGGTTGTAACACATTTTTAAATTATGCATATGACAAACATATTTTTGTTGCAATATACTGTTATAAGACAAATAAGAATAATGCTTTCAATACTTGGAAGAGGATGTGGGGATTGCAGGTTTCTAGCTTAGATTCAGTGGGAACTAGATGAGGTTGACTAACATTTCCTCTTCGGAGTGGTTACCATGCCAACAAACCAAGGGAGACATGATGGCTGGTGTATCTGGATTTCAGTAAAGCATTTCATTTTTTTTCTTTTTAAAAGATTTTTTTTAAAAAAATTTCTTTATCTTGTTTTATTTCATTGGAAAATCAGATACAGAGAGAAAGATCTTCCATTCACTGGTTCACTCCCCAAGTGACTGCAGCAGCTGTAGCTGAGTAGATCTAAAGGCAGGAGCCAGGAGCCTCCTCCAGGCTTCCTATGCAGGTTCAGGCTCCCAAGGCTTTTTGCTAACCTCTACTGCTTTCCCAGGCCACCGGTAGGGAGCTGGATGGGAAGTGGAGCAGCTAGGACCTGAACTGGTGCTCCAGGGATGCAAGGCGAGGATTCAGCCACTAGACTACCATGCTAAGCTCTGTTTATTTATTTTTTTATTGTAAAGTTTTGTAGTTTCAACAATTCTCCCATTTGCCTTACTTTCCTTCTTCCTCCTTCTTAATGTTCCCATTGTCCAATGTATCTTATCATAATATAGCCCTTCAGCTGTAGCCTTGACTCCAACATTCTCCTCTTTATGTGTCACGACATTGTAGGCAAAAGCAAATGCAAAAAATTTAGTAATTGGTTGTCAAAGTATATTTCACAGTTTTATTAAAATAATTACGCATGTAGAAATACAGACTAACTGAAGATTCAATGCTAAATACACAGATTTTAAACCTGAAATATATATGATTTTTATACTGATGAGGATATGAGATTTTGGAGATCCACATTTTTAATGAAGGCTTAGATTAGTACATAGGACAAGACTTTCCGATGTTTAGGTGACAACCTGGAAGATATAATATTATGCAAGAGAATCAGGATTCCTAAAGACCTCTGAACAGTTAGCTGAATTTTTTCCAGGTAACAACAGCAAACAGTGGAAATTAGCCATCAAGCATTGTTTTTGGGTTTAAATTCCCAACCCAACGGCATGAATAGAGAGGAGAAGTCAGCTGCCTTAAGAGTAGTTGCATAGGAACATCACAGTGATTAGATTAGCAAACAGAAAGTGACATATTTGAAATGGCTAACGGGAGACAATGGTATTATCTGAAGAGCTACTGTGTGCTTGGGCAGTCAATAGAATTTAGTAATTACATATATTACAGATATGACAACTTAAGGCAATATTTTTTAAGACATGTGATACTTGTCTTTTAAAGTAGAAACACATGATTCTTGCCTTTTTAACATTAGGCAATCCTATTAAAGAAGAATTTAAGAAACTGAGAATTTTGAGCTAAAACAAGGCTACTCTGAAAATACAAAATAACAATTTCCTAGTTGTAAAGATCATATATTAAAGAAGGATTTCCCTTCATCCCCTGAATGTAAAAGTTAAAGCTTTAGAGAGCACTATGGAGGCTTACCCGGAGCACTCGTTCCTGCTGGGTGGCTGAGATTGACTATTGAGCACAATCAGCAGTATGAGTAAAACTAAAACTTTATTTTTCTGTTTTACTTTTAATTTTATGGTACAATTCCATAGGGTCTGGGGTTTCCCTACCCATTTCCCAAATTCTCTCCCCCAACGGAGTTGCCCCATATTGTTATTAGGATAGTATAGTCCTCCATAAGCAGTCATAACTCCACCATTCTGTTATTTAAGTGTGCTCCTGACATTGTAGGCACAGGCAATGACAGAGTCTAGCATCCTATTGTCAATGTATAAACAGCAGTTGCACTGGGAGTGCATCTTTGATTTTGAAGTAGAGATATATATACTGCGTTGTATCTTCACATCTGGATATGATAGTCTCTAAAAGGCCATCACTATTCAGGGGAACATATAGTAATATTTGGCTTTCAATTCTAAGTTCCATCATTTGTTTGGAAGTGAATTTTCTTAGACTGTAGTATGGGATAGTTCTCCAGGTTTCTTGCTGGGGAGAGGATGACAATTGAAATAAAATTGTGAGGTCACTTTGTAAGATATAAAGCAGCCATGCATACATTTTCATTATCACAAATGGGTAATCTTTGTGAGGAGGTTGCAGGAGTTTGCAGTACTGCCTGCTGGTTGCACTGAATCTTAAATTTGAGATCTTTTTAACCTTTAGATTCAGTGAATTTTTGCTCTTGGGTTTTGGCATTGTGCTGGTGGTCAGTAAAGGCAGAGAGAGACATAGTGATTTAGAGATAACAGATGGGGGAAAATAAGGTTTTTGTTTCCAACGAGGGGCTTTCTACCTTGCCTTGAGTGTTCAAGTCTCTCCCTCTCCCTCAGCATCTGGATCCCTCTGCCTGGGCCACCATCCTGGCTGTCATCTGGCTACATGCTAATTGTAGCAGCTTGAAGTGGGAGTGGGAACTTCTTGAAAAGAAGGCAATAGCCTGGGTTCGCCCTTTTGCAGGTAAGTTGAGTCCTAAGACTCTTCTCTTTCCTGCACAGGGTGTCAGATCTTTTGGCAGATGTGATGCCTATAGGCCTGGCGGAAGGTGGCTGTGAGAGTTTCTGTAGTCACCTCTTCATTATCCTGTTTCAGACAACTTCTAGTCTCCCAACTAGCTATTTCCCTACCGCATAAGTGAGCCTTAAATTGGAGTGTGTGTGTGTGGGTGGGTGGGCTGGATCAGAGAAGGTGCAGCAGGGCATGGATGGAGAGTATGAGTTGTGAGAAGGAGGTCCGTTTGTGTTCACTGAGAACTGCTGAAGTGCAGCTCGGCCTACGCTTGAGGCACTTGTTCTTTAGGTACTTATTATGTCACTGCTTTGGTTTCCAGAGAAAAACAAAGGGCAATTCCAGAGATGAGAAAACGCAGAAGCATTGAAGATAGATAACACTGAGTCAGGGAGATCTGGGGGCTACCCAGAGAGATTTTGCCTCGCTGTTGTTCCCTCTGATTGCTGTGTTGTCTTATCACAGGCTCCAGCATGTCAGTGCTTGTGAAAGCTGCCATTGCCTTCCTGAAAGTCTCTGTAAATCCTGGCATCTTTGACCTCTGAGTACGCCAACTGGAAGAAAAGAAACATGCAAACAAGTGCCTCTCCTTGGTCACTGTCATTTCCTTAATCAGCTGCTCTGCTGTGGAGAGTTCTTGCGTTGTATACTTCCTCCTATATGTCTTGTCGTGAAAGTAAAAGATGTCCACTCCCTGCCTTACCTCCCTGTTTCAGCTGCCCTTGGGTGTGCCTGGGTTATGCCTTTCAACAAGTGATAGGGGTCACAGAACACATTCTCCTTCTTGAAACAATTTAAAATAGTCTATAATGTTCCACCCAGCATTTGTAGAGCAATAAAGTGTTATTGGTGACATGAACTTCTGGCTAAAGGTTTTGCAACACTGATATTAGTGGATATTTGAGTTAAAGCATTCTCAGCATTTCCTTTATTCACTTTTGACTTTCTCTAGTTGTCAGGCCCACATTGACCATCTTGGAAATTTTCCATCCTCATGAAGAATTAAACAGAAATTGAAAACCAGCATAGGTATCAATGTAACCTTAAGGTATCAAAGAGAGAGATTTAAGAGGGCCACTCTGAGTACCGGCACTGTTGATGGCTTTCTTGATTAATTCTGCTTGTGCTTTCAAATGTATTCTGTGTGCATATCATTCAGTTGCCTAAGACACTTGAATTATTCTTATTGCCAATAGAGATTTCTTTTCATTAATCATTTTAATAGAATGGCCATCCTGAAATCCTCTGTGCTAGCATAAATCCCTGAGGTCTTGAAGTTAGCTTGTGATCTAATGTAATAAAGAGAAGGTTGGGTTTGATTGCAGTTGTCTCTAGCTGAACTTGGACCACTCACTGTATGAGAAAGAAGAGACCTGCTTATTGTTTCTAATTTTTTTGTCTCAGGCACGTTGTCCTGGCAGAAATAACCATACTAATGTGTTTTATGCCCCTGTACCTGCCAAATAACTACTTTATCAATATTAAAATGATGATTTCTATACTCTCTCGGCTGTGTATGGTTTTTCCTGATTTATTGATTGAGTTTGGATTGGACCCACTGTCCTTTACTTTTATATCCCAAGTTTTCGGATGCCTCCGTATTTTCATTGTATTGTGTCCATACATCTTCTATTGAATGTTGAAGGATAGTTTCCTCTATTATACAACATAGGCGACAAGGGCCATTAGAATACCATTGTAACCGTTATGCTCATACACTGGAAGTAGTTGCAGAACATTAGGGCATGATTGAGTCTCAGAAGCTCAATATTCTCAGCTATAAAATAATTAAACTAGAACTGTACCATAACTTTCAGATTGAACACCTCAGAATGCCTAGCTGGAACTTGAGACATTTCAGTGGGATAATAGAGTTCAGATCAAGTTTCTGGAAGCTGTTACTTGAACTTATATTGGAAGAATTTGTAACACTTGCATGGTAGAATCTAATTTCCTATTTATTTCTTTGGCGTTTCTTCATAGACAAATGTGAATTCTTAAACAGGACTGTAGCATCACCTGGAAGCATGTTAGAAATGCAAAATTTTAGGCAAAAAGAACTGCTACTGTATCAAAGCCTGCATTTTAAAAGGCAACCAGACAATTTGTATGCACATTGAGATTTGAGAACTGAGTATCTCATATTCTTGTGAAGTAGGCTTGTATTGAAGTCTACTATTTAGATAGTTCATCTCTAGGTAATATCAGAAGAGACAGCTTCCTCAAGACCACAGCACTTACAAAATTTGCCTTCTGCTCACCAGATATGTAACTTTAGATTTGTTATGTAAAATATTTATTGATTATTTCCTCTTTTTTCATCTTCTACCTTCCACGCTAGGCTAGGAATTGGGAGGTTTAGTACAAGGCTCTGTAAGGTTAAAACATTTGAAGCAATTACATGTGGGTGAGTGTTTGGTCTATCATTATTGTTTAAGATGCTGTATGAGTCATGCGCCTTCTATGTCTCAGTACTTGAGCTCGAATCCCAGCTTCGCTCCTAATACCATCTTCCTGCCAGTGTGCACCTGTACACCCTGGGAGGCAGTAGGTAGTGGTTAAAGTAGATGACTCCATGATACTCACATGGGAAACGTTGACCGACTGTCTCACTCCTAGTGTTTTCCTAGCCTAGCCCTGGTCTTCACAGCCATTTGTGGAGTCAACCAGTGGATAAGAGTCTCTCTCCTCTGCATCCCTTCCCTCCCAAACAAATTGTGAAAAGTATGCTTTTCCCTTTCAAATATAGAAACAATCACATTTTTAAAAAGCAGAATTTCATTTCCCACAAGATGTAATTTACTGATATGTGTGAATTCCTCCTATGTAAATAAGTTGTATTCATAATCAGCAAATAGAATTTTGGCACATTTTGAGATCCCCCTCCCCTTTTAAGGCAAAGACTCTTGAGTTTCGGGAAAATGAAATGAACCATCTGTACATTCAGGAGCTAATACTCTAGGCAGGGACTCCAGGAAAGAAGTTTTTGTCATCTGCTGGTTGTTACTTTATTGTTTCCTAGCTGTTATAAACTTAGCCTCAAGAAGGACTGCAAACAGTACACACTCGAGAGTCTCCCATTCAGAGTGGGTCCCGGGGTCATAGTGAAGATTCCCTCTCACATAGAGACTTAGTAATGGGATTCAGCTTCTATCCTCCAACACAGTCGCAATAGTTCACTGACTATCCGATGTCCTTTCTTCATACTCATTGACTTTTTGGCATGAACAACCGGACTATTCCAATTACTATTTAATGGTCTAGAGATGGCTCAGGGAGGAAAAGGTGTTTAGGAGGGATATTCAGAAGTTCCTTTTTGGTTACAGGAAGTTCAAGTTGCATGATAAGCAACTATGTGGACATCAGTAAAATGTTGGAGACATAATTCTGAATTTCATAGCAAAAATTTTGGCTAAAAATGTAAATGCATGAGTGTGAGTAAAATTTTAAATTTTGTCAGTGCGGGAGGACATCATTAGACTGTTTATGATGGTAAGAATTTTGAGTACTGAATTCTGGACTGCACCAGCATTCAGATATCAAGATAATGTGATAAAAAGAGAAAGACAAAATCACGTGAAATAACTGCTTATCTGTATGGGCTCTGAATGAGAAGTGACTTTTATTTTTATTTTTAAAAATATTTACTTATTTTTAAAATTTGTTGAAAATACAGAAAGAAAAAGAGTGAAAGATATGGCCTTAATGGCCAGAGCTAGGCTGATCTGAAGTCAGAAAATAAGAAATTCTTCCAGGTCTCCCACATGGGTGCAGGGGCCCAAGCATATGACAGATTCTCTTCTGATTTCCAAGGCCATAAACAAGAAGTTCTGTTTGAAATGAAGCATCCTGGAGTAGAAATAGAACCCATATGACATACAAGCCCAGTAGGTAAAGGCTTAGTGATTATGCCACTGTGGCAGCAAATGAAGTGACTTCAAAAATATCAGTAGTTTCGAAATAATATTTTTAATTTACATTATGTTTAAGGGCTTGTTCACTCCACTAACTAAAGAGTTCATCATATTAATAGTAGGAAGAACATAGGCCAGCAAGAAAATAGGCAAGGATCATACAGAATTATCGAAGAAAAAGCAGACTTATTATAGGTAAACAAAGGAACTTCTTGATTGGTAATTCACCTCAGACCCCAGTTATGCCAAATCGACAGACCCTATCTGTCACTAGATCAAGAATATCCAGGCTTAGAGATAACATTTATAATCAGAAAGCTCTGATGAGTTATTGGTGGAGAACCAAGTTGTTTCTGAAACATCTCAGTGATTAAATTCAAATTCTAGAGGAAAGGGAATTGCATGAGGCAGCCTGTTAGCCTCAGTGAAACATGGATGATGAAAATATAAAGCAAATCTTCACAAAAATTTTGCCATGGCAAAAGATCTCTCTTAAGGCATACTATGTCAGACTGTCTGATGGAACTAATATCATGAGAAATACATTATGAGCTTCTCTCATAAGGCTTCTCTCGAGGTTGTAAACTAATCAGGGAATACTAGATGAAGACAGTAATATCCATGGGGAGGAAGGGAATACAGATGACTTCTCCAAATCTCTTTAATGATTCTTTTAATAACTCTCCTCTCATGCAGTGAAGCTGCTGTCTTAATGCAGTCATTCACATAAGTGTTGATGAGCTAGTGGAACATGCACTATTCTTGGAATGCCTGGTCTTTTCTGTAATCTATCTTTAGAAAAGCAGTAATTGCCTTGAGGTCCAATGTCCTTACGTGTAAAATGAGTTCAGGACAAGTACCTTAGTGCATTTCTTGTTTATTAGCTAAAGCAATCTGCATTTATATTAGAAAACTAGGGCAACTGTGCATGTTAGATGCTATTAATTTGGAATGAGTATTTGAAAATCAGAATTAGTGAAGAACTTGTTTTACTTCATAACCCAAAAAGACTCTTTCAAAGGGAGTCTCTGAATGTGATATGGCTCCATTAATTAACATTTACCATGGTGAAGTAATTTATTTTTGAAACCATGTTTTCTAAACAAAAATAGAGAAAGTTCTTAATTTCCTACCTTTGTCCATACCTGCAATGCCATGATGCACTTAAACAGCAGAATGTTAATCTTGAAACTTTTACTAAGGGACTATATCATTGCAATGCTATGGGGGAAAACAGCAGGTGGTGGGAAAACAGCAGGAGAAAAGGGAAGAGAAATTTATCATGGAAAAAAATAATAAAAATGTTTTAAATCATAAAAAATCAAAGAATGGAGAAACGTTTCACGGTAAGAATTGAAAGAAAATACAGAAAGCTCAACACAAATCCAGTTTTTAAAAAAAGCATGATAAAGGGCCCGGCATGATAGCATAGTAGTTAAAGTCCTCACCTTGCACGCCCTGGATCCTATATTGGTGCCAGTTCTAATCCCATACACTTTGGAATTGGGTTTCAATGTATTTGTCTAATATTGAAATTATTTAAACTGCTTTTATGTTTGTCAAATGATATCACCTACTTCATAAGCTTCTTAGGATGAATTAACAATATTAATTATTCATTTTTAGAAAACTGTTTTAGATCATAGATGTGCATATATATCATATATATTTGCATCTATCATAATATCATATATATGTATTTATATTCATAAAGACCAAAATAAGTATACATACATTTGATCTTTATGAATATAAATATAAGGCTTGACTGCATATATGTCAAAGCAAACAAAAACAGAGAGCTTTGAATCTGTTTTACCAGAGCACAATCTAGACGGAACATATTTGTTATTTTATAGCACATCTTTCTGATGACAACATTGCTATTATTCCACGACTGCATAATGAATAGCTAATTGCTTCCTCAGAGCTAAAATTGGGTCTCAACAGGGCTTTAAAAAAGAAGAAACAAACTAGCAAAAAAGAAAATACTCTCCTCAGAGAAATCCAGAGAGTAAGTGTGGTGCAGGCCTGCATTTTACAGGCCTTATGGGACTCCATTCTGGGGACAGTGAATCTCCTCTGGCTGGCACACACCCGCTCTGCTCAGAAACAATAAATACGAGGTCCTCTTGCTTAGGAACCGCTGGCTATGTCCCCAGCAATGAGGTGTGTATATTCCAATTTCTGCATGGTCTGTTAACCTCTATTCCCTACCCACTGATTGACCCACAACTGAGGGCCTTCCCTGGTTTTTGGGACTCTTCTTTTTTCCTGAAAGGAATTTAAAAATGGGATCCCACAGACACAGGGCATCTTAGTGCCTCCAAGCAGACAAGGAACAAAGACATGTGTGGGCCGAGGATGAACTAGGGCTTGGTGCAGGTCTCTCAGGAATGACTCGCTCAGAGACTGTCCAGTTGTGGCTGGAATCAGTAACAGGCTGTCAGAAGTCCGTCTCCCCCAAATATCACTGCTTTCGTCATTGTCTTTACTTCTGCCCAATTGTAGGTGTTGTGAGATCGTTCTTGTTAGACATAATTCCAAGAGAGATTTCTGATGTTGAAGGGGATTCTATAAACCGA